AAAGATATCTGTAACACATATAAACTTGGATAGTATGCAGAAGTACTTTTATTTTATTTTATTTTTGTAAAGAGGATTCGGGGACTTCCCTGGTGGCACAGTGGTTAAGAATCTGCCTTCCAATGCAGGGGACACGGGTTCCATCCCTGGTCAGGGAACTAGATCCCACACGCATGCTGCAACTAAGAGTTCGCATGCCACAACTAAGGAGCCCGTGAGCTGCAAACAAGGAGCCTGCCTGCTGCAACTAAGACCCAGAGCAACCTAAGAAAATAAAAAAAAATTTAAATTAAAATAAAGAGGATTCAATAAAATAATTTATGTAAATACAAAGGACAGTGCCTGACACTTAGTAAGCTCTAATAAATATCTGTGACTAACCTTACCTTAGAGATAATATTATTAGGAATGCTTTGATAATATGGAATTAGCTGAGTTGAACAGGGGAAAGGAGTTGTGAGAATGTTCCCTCAAGCTCAAAAGTTGACAGTCCTGGTTAGGAGGCAGGGGGCTGGAAATGAGTTAGGAAGCTATAAGTCGGGGTGCAGCATAGTGAATAAGGTGTACAGGACGAGGGTAAAGGTAGGAGCTGGGGACGCAAAGTGTGGGCATAGGAAAGAGTACGGAGCTGTGTGAAGTGGATCCTGAGGCGTGAGAGCCTAAGAAGCAGTTGGGGGCCGTGCAAGTCCCGCAAGGCTCTTCAGCTCTCAGCTTCGGAAGCCTAAGCCGCTACTTCCACGGCTCCTCGGAATGCGCTGTTCTGTCCACTTCCTTGATGGTCACCCTTCCTCCCTTTCGTCCATTCCCCTCCCCATCGACAACCCTAACGACCCTCACCCGGGATAATGGGCCTCGAAGAGCCACCTCTGCCTCAGATCCTGGGCCACAAACCCATTATCCTGCCAATTCTGCTCTCTGACCTCCGCCTTCTGACCCAAAGCGCCACTCTTCCGCCTCCCGAAGTCCGTGAATTCGTTCTGGGGCCTCAAGAAGCCGCTGTTTCCGGAAATGACTCCCACCTAGGTAAGAAGGCATGTGCTATTGCCAGGAAAATACATTCGGTGGTTTATGTATATTTCACTCGTTACAAATCTCCTCTAGAGAGAGCGGAATTTAAACTTCCGGGTCAGCTTCCATGCATTCTAGGAAATGTAGTCCTTAGTCTCCACGCTTCACTCCTGTTGCCCAGAGTGAGGGAGCGTCGCGAAAGTAGACGGTTTAGGGACCCTTCTCTTTGGCTCTCCAAAGGGGGAAATTGGTGAAATATTTGCACTGAAAATAATACAAGGCCGATTTCTCATTTTCCAAGAACTCTCCTCCGCGGAAGGTTAGAAGTATACGGGATCCGTCCCTCCTTGACCTTTAAGTGGGTAGCAGGTAGATGGTCTCTTAGTTCGCCTCAGGTCTCCGCCTGTCTTGGTGTCCCGCCCCCTCTGCCGGAGCCCGCACCGCCGATTGGCTAGGAGCACTTGAGCGGCGGAAGCAGCTGGCTCGCGCGGGGCCTGCGGGGAGGGGGAGAGTTGTGAAAATGGCGGCGGTGGTGGAGGTGGAGGTTGGAGCAGGTGCTGCCGGGGAACGGGAGTTGGATGAGGTAAGAAGAGTTGAGAGTCGAGGAGAGGAGAGACCCAACCTGAAACTGAAGGGAGGGGAGGGGAGGTATCGGAAGTGGGGGTCCTAGGAGAGATGGAATCCTGAGAGGGAAGGAGCCAACAGGAGACGGGTGCGGGGAGGGGGAAATCTGAGGTACCCTGGACTCCAGGACTCAGGGACTCGGAGGCGGTCGTGGGGCAGAAGACTTGCAGTAACCTCAAGGGTGGAGTTGGAGGACAGGAAGAGAAGCCAGAGGGGTTGGGGTGTTAAGATTTGGGATTATTAGGTGGGGGTCCTGGGAGGATTAGAGGGCCGCCAGGTAGCTTGAGTTGGAGGGGCGTGGGCTCCTGCAAGGGAAAGCCGGGTTTTACTGAGGGAAGAGACTCTGTCTAGGTTTTCAGTGGGGCTGGGGACGCGGACCGCGGAAGAGTGCTTATCTACTAGTATTAGGGCTTCGGGTTATGTTTACGTAAGAGCTCTTTACATTCTAGAACTTTGTACATAATGTGGGCTCAGTGAAGTTTTGGTCATCGAATGATAGAACGAATGGATGCATGGACAACTGTATATCGGAATTCACTCATTCACTCACTTAACAAACAACAAGTATCCCCTTTGTGCCGAGTCCTGGGCTAAGTGCTAGGGACCTTCCCATTGAAGAGCTCACAGTATGGTGGTGGGAGACGCATAAGAAGACTAGTCATTGCATCGGAGGTATAATGGTGGGACTGAGAAGAGGGGACCAATTCAGTTTGGGCTAGGGAAGGCTTCCCAGAGGAGATGAGTCTTAACAGATAAGTGATTCTCTCTCCCTCTTTCTTCTTCTTTCTCTCTCTCTCTCTCTCCCCCCCCCTCCCTCCCCTCTCCTCCCACCCGCCTCCCTTCTTCCCTCCTTCTAGACTTAGAAGTTCTTTGAGAGTGAGCTCTTGAGGGTATATGTCCCCTTTACCTACATAACAGGCATTTAACAACTGGTGTATTCAATTACCAGTGGTCCTTGAAGGAAATCACTAGGAGGAAGGAGACATTGAGTTTGAAGGAATGAAGGGACAGCACTGAGAAGCAGAGAGAGGTGAGAAAGGAAAGGGAAAAGATTCTGAGGCCAGAGGTACATTCATGGCTAGGGGTGCTTGTGGTTTTGCCCATGACAGCATATTGACGGCAGGGAGAAATAGGAGAAAGGGGATTGATTGTTGGGGATGGAACCAGTGGGATCTCTGAGGGATCAGAATCTTAGAGGCCCTGGCTGTGTGTTGGGGGTGAGGATTGGGGATGAGGCCCAGAGAAAGAGAGTAGAAGTCGACTTGAGAAGCAAAAACTGTTGTTTGGTGGTGGGATGACTTGGAGGTTTTGGTTTACCTGTTTGGGAACATTAAGGTGGAGGGGAGGAGACTGAGAAACTGGCAGGTGGTCAGAGCAGGGAGAGATTTTTAAAGAAGCATTTTAGACCCATATCTTTCAGTCACTAAAGACCAGGGATGTTTGGATGCCACTTGGTTGGTGAGGTGTGGTAGTCATGGAAATGACTTCCAAGACCCCTTTCAGCTTTCAGTTTCTGTGATTATGGTTGGTTGTAGTTCAATGAGATATATTTGAAAGTGCCTTGAAAAAGTAAGTACTGTATTTAAGTTATTATACATGGTTTGTTAGTCATGGGCTCTCCTTTGGGGGGGCAGATTTCAGTTACATATATCAGGGTTCATTGAGATAAAGAGCAAAAGTTTTGGCAAAGGAGAAAAGAACTTAAAGTTTTGATGTTAAACATTTTTGATTCTTGCTTCTTAGCTTTTTTTCCCTTATGGTTTTAAGAACTTAAGAGCTTCTAGTATCATAATTATACTTCCAGAGAGTCATGTCTAGAGGTCAACTTTATATGTAACCACTAGCATTTATCCCAGAAACTTCTGTTCCTTGTTTCATTTACTGAGAAATAATATAATCTGTTGTCTGAAAATTCTGTGTGGATGGTTCTATCCTTTTCCTTGTGTGTTTAAAAAAGTAACTTTGAGAAGCAGGAACAGACATCCCTTCAAGCTCAAAAAAAAGGAGGGGTGGGCAGGGGTATGGTCTGGCAGACCTTAGTTTGTGAGTTTCTTTCGATACTTCTATCTCCCCAGCTGTTTCTTAGTAGCCTTAACTAGTGAAAGAGAAGGTGAAATCCATCCTTTAATTTGTAATTATGGGGGTCTACTGTGTTTTATGCACTGGGAATCCAAAGATGAGTAAGACAGGATCTTTACCAATTTATAGTGTAGAGAAGAGACATGCAAATGGCCCACTGCAATACTAGATAATTGCTGTAATGGAAGTGTGTAACAGATTCAGTGGGGCACAAGAGACAAGCACTCAAGTCTGCTGGGGGATTCAGTGAGATCTTTATGATGGAGATGGATTTGAGTTGAAAAATTAAAGGTTAGGTTTATAAAGAAGCATATGGCATCAGAGTTGCTCTCCTGTAGTACCTTCTGCTTGGTAGAGAGACTGTTGTGGAGCTCAGATTATAAAAGAGTAATGGATAGCCTAGCTAAGATGCAGTAGGGTACTCCTTGCCACTTCTTTGGAAAGATTGCATGCTCTGATTTGTTCTCTAGGATATCGGGCCTGTGTTTTCCAATATCAGATGCCGTTAGCATGATAACTAGTCTGGAATAGCAGCCATCAGTTTATTTATGTTCCTTTTGTCCGTTTCATTATTACTTTCTATAGTATTTAGTTAAGGTAATTAAGACTTTGCTCACTGCTTCTGTTTTTGAGAGGAAAAGAGCTACCAATAGAAAAGCCTGCTGTTTATTGAGCCCTTACCATAAACCAGCCCCTGTTTAAAGCCTACATTATCTCATTACTGACAGCAGCCCTGTGAATTAGTTGGTGTTTACCGCATTTTATAAATGACACTGAGGCAAGAGAGGTTAAGTAGCATTCCTAGGATTCCACAGTTTGTGAGGGGAAGTGCAGATTCCATCCCAGGTCTGCCTGTGCTATACTGAACTAAGTTTTACACCGCCATACTATACTGAACGCCTCGGTTCCATTTCTCATGCCAGACTCATCTTACCAAAGTAAACTACCTTTTTCTTAATATACAAAAGTCCCATCTCCGGGCTTCCCTGATGGCGCAGTGGTTGAGAGTCCGCCTGCCGACGCAGGGGACACGGGTTCATGCCCGGTCCGGGAGGATCCCACATGCCGTGGAGCGGCTGGGCCCGTGAGCCATGGCCGCTGAGCCTGCGCGTCCGGAGCCTCTGCTCTGCAACGGGAGAGGCCACAACAGTGAGAGGCCCGCGTACCGCAAGAAAAAAAAAAAAAAGTCCCATCTCCAAAATGTGAAGCAGCATTTCATTCCTGAGAGATTCAAAGTGGGGGTTAACTAAAGGAATATTGGTTTTTCTACACAGGTCGTTTAATTTACCTATAATTTGATTCTGCTGAACCCCTGGTCACGGGGAGTGATGAGCCCAGTGGCAATTAGGGAGATGAGAGATGGGTCTAGCCAGCTCAGGCTGGGGCTAGGTATTAAACGCTTTGATGACTGGCTAAGTTCTTCAACTTGCTAAACCACAGGGTGCTTGAGAATGTTAGGGAGGATAAAGCATGGGTACCAGCTTGGAGGCCCAGAAGCAGACCTATTCTGGAGCCAGTGAGTTCCTTCTTGAAGGGGGACCTGGCTAACCATGAGAAGAATTGGAGGCATCATCTTGGCACAGAGAGCTGGTTTGGGACCTAAGGTGAAAAAGCACTTCTACATCCAATCAGGGCCAGCCTGCCTGCCTGGCTAGTGCCTGTGAATTCCGGATGTGTCTACTCCCAGTAATTGTTCATCTGCCAAAATGATGTGATATTATGCAGAGTAGTGAGTAGTTTCCAGCTCAAGTTCAAAGCAGGTATCTCACCCTACAGCTAACTTGAGTTATTATTGCCTTTAGTGTGTAATTTCCCTCTTCTGGGCCTTGTTTTATTCTTGTTAAAAGAGGAGATTGGACTAGATTGGTTGTTTTTAAACCTTTAGTCATGAAACCCTTTATTCAAAAAAAAATCTCACTTTGAAGCCTTGTGGTCCTTGAAGGGACTCAGAACCCCTTGAGTATCTCAAGCCACACTTTGAAAATCAGGGAGCTTTCTCTTACTGCCAACTGATTGGGTGACCCTACTTTATGTTCCTTCAGCCCCCCTGTACTTCCTCTAACCCAGCTCTACCAAGCATTATTTTAACTGTCTGTCTTCCCCACTAGACTCTTAGCTACATGAGAGCGGAGTACAAGTCTATCTTGCTCATTGTTGCAGTCCCTTCACTCAGTATGGTGCCTGGCATAAAGGTGATTATTATTTTTGAGTAGTGGTAATAAGCTCCTCTCCTTAGTAGTATGTGCTTTTTTATTGAATGTTTACAGCATCCCTATGAGATTTGAACTATTGGACTAAGTCATGACTAAAGCTCTAACATACTGTGTACCATGTTTCTGATTACCGCCAGGTCTTTGTTTGTGCTGTCCTGTCTGCCTAGAGTACCTTTCCTTTCCCCCGTGTCTTTCCAAATCCCACCTGTAGTTTAAGCTTCTAGCCCAAGGCTCTCTTGCTTTGTAGAACTATTCTGATTTACAATGATATCTTCTTTCCTTGTGTTTCATAGTTTTCTCTGTGTTCATTTATCAATTCATCAAACTTTTTGGAAGCACCTTCTGTATGCCAGGTACTGTGCTATGCTTGATCATACCAAGATGGGTAATGTGTGATAACTGCCTTCAAGGAGTTCACAGACTAGCCTGGGTGGAGAGAGAGTGATAAATAAGTACAAAAATGTGTCACAGGTGCTGTGTCAGTGGAATATGTGTAGTGGGTACATCAAGGAGGAAGTAGCAGTCTGTTATATCTTTTCAGGGAGGCTGTAGAAGTTCCCATCCCATGCTTCTTCAAAGTAGTAATCTTGGACTGTTTTGTTTTTCCTCCTGTGGGTCTCTCCCTGTAGACATTTGATAAATGTTCCTTGTTTCCAGGGATTTTTTTTCTCTAGGAATTCTTGGTTAAAGCCCAGATCTTATTGAGGGATTGACGCATGTGTGACTGAAGTTTAATCTTGGACATCTGACCATATATCTTTGGATTTTTTTTTTAAAGACGTGTAAAATGAGTAGTAGCATAATGTAGTGGGGAAAAAAACTAGAGTAGTAAACAATAGACCTAGATTCTAGACTAGAAATAGCAGATTTTGTTTTATCGCAGAGACAGCCAAATGATAACAGCTGCTTAGAAGGTTGTGTTGAGAAGGATTCTGAGGCCAGGGTTCAGCAGGAGAGTGCTAAAGGTGAAATGATATAGAGTACTTACTCTGTGCCAGGTCCTGGTGCCAAGTATTTTATATGCATTATCTAATTTCATACCACAACCTTACAAAGTAGGTATTATGATGGTTATGTCCATTCTTCAGATATGGAAACTGAGGCATAGAGAGTTTAAGTAATTTGCCCACTGTCACACAGCTAGGTAAGTGACAGAGGTAGGGTTCAAATCCAGGATGACTCCTACATCTGTGCTTTTAACCACTCTGGGCAGTGTGAGTACTGTATGCTTCCCATACTGTCTTATGTTAGACATTTCTACTATATAAGTGTAGGACTTCATTTACAGAGGTGATTTGACTGGGGTAACGCTATTTGTCAGTCTCTCCCATGAGACTGAGTTCTCCTTGAAAGCCCTATCCATCCTTATATCCCTGGTGCCTGACATAGAGTATGATTCAATAAATGTTTGAAGATGCCAACTCATGAAAGATTCCATACCTTAATTCTTTTTTTTTTTTTTTTTTTTTTTTTTTTTTGCGGTTCTTGGGCCTCTCACTGTTGTGGCCTCTCCCATTGTGGAGCACAGGCTCTGGATGCGCAGGCTCAGCGGCCATGGCTCACGGGCCCAGCTGCTCCGCGGCATGTGGGATCTACCCGGACCGGGGCACGAACCCGTGTCCCCTGCATCGGCAGGCAGACTCTCAACCACTGCACCACCAGGGAAGCCCCATACCTTAAATCTTCATATGTGAAATGATAGGTTTGGACTAGATGACCTTCTAGAGGTTTCCCGCAGCTTTGAAAGTCTTGGATCCCAGGATTTTACTGTGCCTTGTGTTTCCTACAGTTTCTTTTGGGTACTCAGTGGATACTAGGGAATAACCAAATGAAGGTATAATTATTATTAATAATCTGTGCAAATAATCTTGGGATGAGAGAAGAAAAAAATGGTGATAGGGAAGTTATACACAAAAAGGCCTACATGTAACCTCCAATTCTGTAACCTTTGTCTTTTTGTGCAGTCAGAGTCTCATACTCTGGCAGACACCCTATTTGCAGACAGTCTTTCCTTCCCATTTGGTTTCCCATTATAAACCTCCCATCCCCAGCTCTTTTTTTAGCTGTGCCACACAGCATATGGAATCTTAGTTCCCCGGACCAGGGATTGAACCCACGTCCCCTGCATTGGAAGCGTGGAGTCTTAACTACCGGACTGCCAGAGGAGTCCCTCACTCTTACTTTTTGCAGTCATTTGTTTGGTTAACCCATTACTTAATAACTCATCTACTTCCAGAAGGAATTTAAGGTGTCCTCTGGTCAATAAAGGAGGGTAGGAGAGAGGAAGAAAAAATGAAGAGGAATGTTCTAACTTCTTGAGTGCAGGGACTATCGTTTTCATCTCTCTACATTCCTCAGTTCTTGGCGCATAGCAGACATTTGTTGAATAAATGAGAATGTTTGTAGATATGGATTCTACTCAGGTTTAAGGAAGTGTTGACTAAATTGCAAAGGTTAACTGATGTACTCTGTTCTGGCAATAACACAGTAGTGCCTGACAGTACTATTTGCTTATAAACTGCTTATGAAGCATTTTCGTTTTTAATTAGTGCCATATTCCTCCTTACCAGTGAGTCATAGGCACAGTATCTGAGGACCTGCTTTCCGCCCCAACAGCACTCTGTATAGACATCTATCAACACTTACCATGTTGTTTTGTTTGTCTCCCCCATCGCTCAGTGAACTCCTTGAGGGGACAGAACCATACCATTTTTCATCTCTGTGTTCCCAGCACCTAATCTCTCTCAGCGGCTAGCACAGAGTAGATATTCAGATGCTTATTGAACTTGAATCCTTTTTTTAAAAATAAATTAATTTTATTTATTTTTTGGCTGCGTTGGGTCTTCGTCGCTGCATGTGGGCTTTCTCTAGTTGCGACGAGTGGGGGCTGCTCTTCGTTGCCGTGTGTGGGCTTCTCATTGCAGTGGCTTCTCTTGTTGCAGAGCACGAGCTCTAGGCGCACGGGCTTCAGTAGTTGCGGCACTCAGGCTCAGTAGTTGTGGCTTGTGGGCTCTAGAGCGCAGGCTCAGTACTTGTGGCGCACGGGCTTAGTTGCTCCATGGCATGTGGGATCTTCCCGGACCAGGGATCGAACCTGTGTCCCCTGCCTTGGCAGGCGGATTCTTAACCACTGCGCCACCAGGGAAGCCCTGAACTTGAATCTTAAATCTAGTCCATCCACCCATGTTGAACACTCCCAGCAAGTGATCACCTCGTCTGTGTTTAAATCCCTCTAATGATAGGGAGCTTATCATTCTGTGGTCAGCCTGTTCCCTCTTCGAATTCCCCTGTTGCAATATTCTTCATACTGGGCTAGAATTCTTATTTCTGTAGCGTCACCTTTTTAGTCCTCCTTTTCCAGATCCTGCTTCTTTGCGTCTTTGACCCATGGAGGCACATGCACTGACAGAGAATGCCTCTGAGGAGTTTAGTCTCAGTCCACCTGGAGCTATTTGTCCTGAAAGCTTACTCCATGAAAGCCAACCCAGGATAAGCCATCCAGCATCATTCCTCTTCTCTATTTTATTTTTGTGTTTTCCCTTCTTGAAGTCATTTGTTATCTCTCTGCTCCTCAGAGGAAAATCTGTAGGTAAACATAAACTCATTAGTTCCCTCTAAAGTGCAGCTTTCCCAGGAGGATGCTGAGTTATGACCATGGGGCTTTTGGTCCTGAGCAACTAGGGAGAACCAGTGGGGAAAGGGGAAGCTGGAAGCAGAGAGCGTAGCCCTGCCAAGGTTTGTGTTCCCTCTGCCCTCCTTCCCCCTTCCCAGTAGGATATTCTCAATAACTGAATGTGTCTGTTATTAAGGAGGTCTCCAGTGGCATTTTATTTTCCATTGCCCATAGGATTGAACCTAACCTCTTCCTGAGCCTGTCATTTAGCGCCTTGCAGAAGCAGACTTTTCTCCTTCTATTTTAATGATAACAAATAATAGCTAACTTTTTTATTGCATACTGGTATAATGCCAGGCGTTATACCAAGCATTTTACATACATTAACTCTTTTAATTATATTTTAATACTATTATTGTCTTCACCTTCCGGATCAGTGAAAACTGAGGCACTGCCAAGTAATTTATTCAAGGTTGGATAGCTTGTAAGTAGACTTGGGATTTGAACCTGGTGATGTGACTCCATGATCTCTATTGCTGGTGTCCTCTATAACATGGATTTACTGTTTTCAAAATTCACCATATATTTATTGAGCATTTAATTTTGCCAGATACTTTATTTGGTCTTGGGGATTCATAAATGGTTAAAGAGACTATCTGTGCTCCAAAAGAGTTTATGGTCTAGTGGGGAGAGGGACCCATCAAGTGATAATGACGATGTAGTGTGATGAGTAGAGCTATATACAGGTATCACAGGTGCATGGGAGGAGTGTGAAAGTGTATTTGGGAGAGTTAGGGGAGACTTCAGAGATGATATGTCATTGGGCTGATTCTTAAAGGAGGGATAAAGTTTATCATATGGCTAGGAGGCCGGTTTACACCAAGCTAAAAGCACATATATGAAGGAGTGGAAGCATGATATCTTTAAGCATACTATTAAACATACTATTCTCCACTAATAAAACATTTAGTGATACCTGCTTGCTTTGTGCAAGCTACCGTGTTAGGTACTTAGGTTGAGAGGAAAGACGCTAATTCATGTTTCATACCTTCTAGGAGCTTATACAGTTCAGTTAGGAAAATAGTACATGTAGTCCAGTTGGAAAGGCTATAATTATAAAATAAGTTCTAAATACCTTATCAATTGAAAAAAAAAGTGCTATTTGGGAAGTAAATCTCATTGGAGGGGTTAGGGAAGACTTCGTGGAGAAGGAGCCACCCGATGATTTAAATTTCACTATAGAGAGCATCAGGAATAAAGGCCCCAAGTAAATGTGAGAAAGAAGGATGCGTTTGGGGAATCAGCAAGTAAGAGAGGACTAAGTACTAAATCTAGAAACATGGGTTGGAGCCAATATGAGGTTGAC